AACAGACCGGGACCTTCCGAACCACTCACAAACATCCATGCCACCGCCAGGATTCAAATCTGAAGCCTGTGGTACCAAAGGCCAGAGCGTTATCCACATGGCGATCTTAAGTCGCTGTTATCTTAAGGGGCCTTGCTACACTACATTGGGTTCCACACATTTTGTAGCTTACATCCCTTGAATTGAGGACTAGGGGATGCATCCTATTCTCCTTTATACTATCCGACCCACAGATGTATCCTGTCCAGGAACAGCGCAGACAAGGAAACTTTCGCTTTCAGAACTGAACGGAAGTCCAATATTCTGTCTATCTCTCTTATGTGTTGGGGCCTGATGACCAATTGGCTAGCGCTCTGGCCTTTGGCACCGAAGGCTCCAGATTCAAATGCTGGCGGTGGCATGGATGTTTGTGAGGGGTTCAGAATCCACTTTAAACTGTAGGTCCCGATCTAATTAGCCATCGTGTGCGCAAGATGACCGTAGAGCGACAAACAAAACCTATGCGTTGGCATTGAAACATGTCCGAAATGGCCACACTCCAAACCTTCTCAAGAGGAAATGCTGTTCCATAACGTCGTCGAGCGGTTTTTGATTTGTGCCCCGTCCCTCAGCGGGCGCGCCCTCCGTCATTAAGCTCACTTACTTACGGGTTTCCCCCTCATTGCAAACAGCTCCGAAGGATGATGCACGCCGGAATTGGCTTCAACGGCTTCACATATGTAACTGTACCGAAAGCCAGTTATGCAAGGGTTGAGCATAAAATTTTGCTCTGTTTATAAAAATTTATTCTAGGTAAACTATTAGAATTAGACATATGTTTGTTTGGAGGCAGTGTAAGTAAAGTTATAAAGTTTTTAATAAGACAATGTTCTTCAGTATATATGCCCCTTTGGTAGCTTGGAGGCCTGGTGGTCAAATGGCTAGGCTTTGACCTTTGGCTTCAGGTTCGAATCCTGGAGGGGGCATGGATGTTTGCGAGTGGTTCGGAGTCCACTTTAAACTGTAAGTTCCTGTCTGCTTAGCCCTCGTGTTCACAAGATGACCGTAGAGCGACAAGCCAAACCAATTGGTAGTTTGGAGAATGTCAATATGGTTCCCGCCTGTAACCGTATACAATATCTTCACTTCTTCAACGTCAGCAAGTGGTAAAGACTGTGTCTTTGATACAGCCCCAAAAGAAAACATCGAGAGGCCATGGTGTTGGTTCATCCCAAATTCCGGAAATTTCTCGTCTAGGAAGGAACCTCAGTGAGAAGGAACTCCATCTTGCTGGTCCAGGATTGAAGTTCTATTGCCTCATTCATTCTTCATTTATTGCCTCATTTACGTAAAATTACTCATTTAAAAACTATCTGGTCATACTACCTATTTACATACATGTGTTACGGTATTCGTAAATTTGCTGCAGGATAATAATTTTTAAAAAGTTGAAAGCAAGATAATGAATTCTTAAAAAAAATAATAATAATAATAATAAATAAATAATAAACGCTTTATTATATTTGGACATTTAAGTCTAATCAAAACTGATTTTAGTTTTAAGAGAAAAAAAATTTCAAAATATTTTTCACATTTTTCAATATTTTCAAAATTTTTTTTTTTTTTTTTTTTTTTTTTTTTCGAAATTTTTAATTTTTTTGTACGAGTTTTTTAGTCAAATTTAAAAAAAAAAAAAAAAAAAAAAAAAAAACCCATCTTAAATAAAATATTAATTTACTATTATTTCAAAAATAAAAATATGAAGAACTGAATTTAAAAACAGGCCTTAAAAACAACCCGATGTCGCAATTGCTGCTGATGAGCGTCTGTCAAAAAACAACCCATTTATTTCGAGAAAGAAGAATTTCGAATCGAATCGGTATGTATATAAAAAAAAAAAATAAAATAAAAAAGCAAAGCATAAATATTTAAAAGAAATTATTTACTGTTAGATGTGCATTGAAGTCCTGCGTCGTTTATTACCCGATACGTAAGAGTCAGTGGTCAGTTCGTCGCGGGGCAATTCAGGAAAGGAGAAAGACGCTCTTGAAGAGTTGTCAATGGTTACCGAGAACAGGGGTGTGTGGGGAGGGGGTGCAAACGATTGTCCGAGCAGCAGCGAGAACAAAAAAGTCGAACGGGCATTAAGGAAAGACAATGGCGCAATTACGGCGGGGAGTAAAAATACGGCGGCTTTGTCTGTCCCGCCGGCTCATGAATATCACAGAGCGCCGCTTGTCGCACTGTCAAATCGTAAATACGCCTCTACACTGGCTTCTCTGCTCCTTCTGCTTCTTCTCCCAACATAGAATACGGTGATCGGAGAGCACAGTCGGCTTACAAATCCTACTCTTCTATGACAATAATTGTTGGTTCTTCCAAAATTCTCTCAATTAATGTTAAAATTGAATGTCCATTCAATTGCATCGTTCAATAACACGACTGCTTCCAAGCTTTGTCTCTCACTTGACGCACAGCTAATATTACTACTACTACACCAAACCACTGTTGAGGTGCAACGGTGCAGCCCAAAATACAGTTTATTCATACATTCAAAAGAAAGTTTTGAATGCATGCCATTCGGTCTCCTAATAGCTCGTGATGAAACTTACTACATCACACCACATCACTGTGCCTAGATGTGGTGTGATTTGTTATGTTGCCCCTTTACAGTTGAGAAAGAGTAAGTGTGTGTTGCCCCTTTACAGTTTGGGAAGGATGTGGGTGAGAAGAAGTATGATTGGGCTCTGTGACGCTCTACGGTTATATAAGACAGGAATTCATTATAAGCTACAGCTTAAAGTGGATTCTAACCCACTGGACTCCGAACCACTACAAACAGCCATGGCACCGCCAGGATTTGAATCCGATACCTGTGGTACCGAGTGCCAGAGAGCCACTCGTCTATCAGGGCCCCTAACGTTAAGACAGGATAACGTTAAGATTGGATGTTTTCTCTGAAAATCGAGTACAATGACCGAGTGTCTACCGCTCGGTGCCACAGGTCTCGTGTTCGAGTCCCGTTTACTTAGTCCTCGTGGTTCCTCGCTGAAAGTGAAGCTGCATATTACCCTTAGCCATGGATGGAGTTCTTTGGACGTGGTGTAGGACGTAGCAACAACAACATACAGGCTTAACAACATTCATAAGTTCAGACTGGATTTCTCTCATTGCAGAACAATTCACGAAGAACACAATTCACGAAGAAAAACGTTTAAGACTGAATGCATTACTTTCTTAAGGGACGTTCCGATATTCTTTTGTAAAATAATAACAATGACGTAAAACAGGATCAAATGGACATCAATAATGCAAATTATTTTATAATGCCACGTGCAAATACATCATTTCTTTAAAGTCTTTAACGTAAATATGAAAAATAACAACGAACACACATTTCTTTTACAACTTAAAAAAATAAATAATTAATAACTTTAAGAAATAATTAATTGTTATTTTAAGTATCAATCCATTCTGTATTACCTGAAATAATACTAATAATTATTTAACTCCATGAATACGATTTTCAAAATGTGTTAATTTAGTTCTTCTAGAAATGCTAAAAATTCCTTTTTATAAATCGTTACGTAATGAAGGAATACTGTATTTCGAAAGTGAGACCGCCACTTCTTCACTTCGCTTCGGCCGTCACGGAGCGTAACGACATCGGTAGAAAGTGTTTGCGGACCGCCGTCGTGAGTCACGCCTCCCCTCCTCCTGCCCGTTAATAATTCGCAAATTAATTGACAGAGAGGCGCACTAGAGCGATAAAGAGACCTTTGGCGATGACCGCACGATCACCAATGAAGAGCGTCCGCGTCCGAGACAAACATGCGATTCGAATTTTTTGTATTTAGGATAATAGCCAAATTTATTTAAGCAAATGCAAAGTGTGATAAAGGAAATAGTTCATGATTTAGATATATGGAAACATGCATATGGTTCGAATACATAATTTGATAGTGCTCAAAGTGACATCCGATTGAGCCATGGTAGCTTATTATAAATGCCAAATGATTGATCATTCGTTCCCTGTTTCGAGATTAAATAGATTTGTTCTAAAATAAGGGGCCTGAATGGCCAGTGTCTAGCGCTGTGGAGGTCGGTGTCACAGATTTCGGGTTCGAGTAGTGCCAGCGGGGTCATGGATGTTTGTAGTGGTTCGGGATCCACGTTAAACCGTAGGTTCCGGTCTAATAGGATCGTAGAAAGTTGGACGTAGGACAGACAACCCTATCCCGTAAAAAGAAAAAAAAAAAACTCCTGTCTCGAATCTGCTAGTACGAAGACGGCCTTGGCCCACCATGGGCTGCTGCGCCGATGATGATGTTCTAAAATAAACGTCTTATATGGGGCTGTTAAAAAAATGTTTAAATGCATTCGCAACCGAGAATTTAAATTCTTGCAATCCCTAATAAGGTCTTTTAAGATGAAACCAGGTTTCATCTTAAAAGTGTTAACAAAAAAGTCAGTTTTTGACACAAGTGTTAAAAAAAAGGGCCAAAAGCATTTAGGAAAGGAAATGAAATATAAAAATTTATATATATATATGATAAGTTATGATTATCCAAAGATATTTTCGACAGTTGCAAGCAGGGATTACATGATTTGAATTATTTTTTTCTAATGATTTCCTAATTAAAAATAAATGTTCAATTATTGAACTGCTGAGTATTCAAGACAGTTCAAAATCTTACGAATCTTACGGTTTTTAGCACACTTTTAGGGTAATTAGACTGAGACCTACAGTTTAAAGGGGATTCCGAACCACTAACCAACACCAACATGTTTCAATTCTTATACTCTTGGCGAAATCCAATTAGATTGAAACGATGTTCGAAAAGAAAAATTAAAATTTTTACAATTAAATTCAAATGTTAAATTGAAGCAAAAACAAATGATACATCTTATTTATTTAAAGGAATTAACTCCAAAGTACGGATTTTTTTTTTTTTTTTTTTTTGAAGGGACATACATCCTAAACATTGTCATTATTATATTTATTTTATATTATTTTTGCCAACGGCCGTACCATGCTGAATATACCGGTTCTCGTTAGATCACCGAAGTTAAGCATCATTGGGCGCGGTCAGTACTTGGGTGGGTGTACCGTTACCGTTGGCAAATTTGGGACCTGAATGGCCGAGTGTCTAGCGCTCTGGCGCCCGGTGCTACAGGTTTCGGGTTCGAATCCCGGCGGTGCCATGGATGTTTGTAGTGGTTCGGAATCCACTTTAAGCCGTAGGTCCCGGTCTTCTATGACTGTAAGAGCGTCACGGAGCAAAAGTCAGGCTTCTACCTACGGGTGCTCCATCACAACAGAAGCTGCTTCCTTCCCCTTCAATCATGAGTACGTACGGGCTCGTGGGCTTGGCCAGCCAAGTGGGATAAGAAACAACAAACATATTTATTTATTTTATTTTTTTAATTAGTATTTTAATATACTTAATGGGGTTAGCATTATATTACGATAAATACTGAAATAACTTTTAACAAATGAAAACAAGTTTAAAAAAAATTTTTTTTCTTTATGTTAAGATCTTTAATTTTTTCATAGCTCAGATCATTCTAAAGTGTCTTTAATTTAAATTTATATTTTAGTAGAAATTTCTGAAGCCATAAAGAAAAAATTTTTAATTGAATTTTCTTAATTTGTAAAACAAATTAAATTCCATTAAAACTGCGAATATATATAGTTAAAAAAATATAACAAAATTTTTCAAAAGCTTGATAAAATACCCAATAAGCTAATAATTTAAATCCATTAATTTTCCGTAACACAACTTTAAATAATCATCTTATTCAAATAATAATAAATAACATTGATATTATTGAAATGTGACCTTTTAAAAAAAGCTTCTCCATCACATTTTCCCTGCATCTCAATTTTGAAGCATTTTATTATTTTGTTTTGAAGGCATTTTTTGTAATATACTTTTATTTTCCATGCATTTTGTTGTATAATCACCTGAATTTCTTGTGTGTACAATGTCTGGTGTACTGCCTACGTTCATCTAGGTCATTTAAAGTTTTGTTTACATCTTTTTTCATATTTCAGCTTTTTGTTAGCATACATTACAAATGACTATCAATATAACTCAACCTTGTTCTTAAAAGATTATAAATAAATAATTGTCGTTCAATACGAATGATTTGTTTCTTCAGAATATTTCCTTAAACAGAAAAGTTTATGAATAGTTTATTTAGGAGGACCAAAATCCGATTAGATCCATATGTTCTAAAATAAATAAATATGGAAATACATTTATTTGGGAAAAACAATCTTAAACGACCTAAAGGTGGAACTGAATTGAATATCACAAGAAGTAATGGGTTTGGTCATTTTATGCACACTTTTTTCAATTCCTACTATTAGTTCACACGCTCCCTATATATAACTTGTTCAAATTTTCAATCGTTCATAAAATACTTTTTATTCCTCCACTCAAGTTCAAATATATTTTTTTGGAACTTGTAGTGGATGACACTGGATGCTAATACAGTTTTTTCAAATATTAACTCCATTAATTAAATTTTATTCATTAATTTTGGTTTGGAAGAAAAAAAATTTATCTTATATAAGGATTTCTCTTATATATTATTAAGGATTTCTCATATTTATATTGATTGTAATTATTTAATAAAAGGTAACTAAAATAAAAATTTTCTTTGTTGATCTAAGTAGGAATTGACTTAAAAATTAGACTAATTAGACCGGGACCTACAGTTTAAAGTGGATTCCGAATCACTCATAAACATCCATGCCACCGCCAGGATTAAATAAGTAGTGGGAGTAAATGGCTGAGATATGGAAAAAATAAGGAATGAAATAAAAATTCATCCTTTCAAATTGTTTCTCCAGGTCTTCACTATTTTGAGGATGTCCGAATTCTGTCATCTCTCATAAAAGTTCGGTGGTTTATTGGCCGAACAAGAGCTTGAACATCCCTGGGAGACCTGAAGAGATAGGCTTGCCATAAGGTGAGTGTTTGGCGCTGTCATATTGGAATATGACCCCAGAATAATTTGCCAATTAAATTAACTAACCGTATTTTCGCAACTTCGTAAGGCTATCCAGATATAGCAACTCATTGCTAAAGACATGGCTGATTCCATACGCAAATGTGGTATTGTATTGTAAATTGGAAAAGTACATTTGTTGAATCCCTGCAGGTTATAAGAGACCTCCTCTGCCTGTCCTGTTCCTCGGTCTACCACAGCAATCTACATTTAACAAATCGAAATCTTCCGCTTCATAGCCTGGTGACGGCATGGATGTTTGTTAGCGGTTCGGAATCCACACTAATCTATAGATACCGGTCTAATTAGCCCACAATGTGCACAAAATGACCGTAGAGCGACAAACCAAACCAAATCCGCCTCATAGTGCGATTATGAACTTTTTGAATAAAACTGCATGTAGCCAGAAATATTTCTCCCATCCAGGCAAAATAACGTTTAAGACGGCCCTTGATATCCCCTACGAATCCTTCCAGGTGGCCAGCAGGCAGACCCCAAATTGGCACCCGTCAAGCCTCCCCCGAAACAGAGGGATTAACAGGTGGCACACCTGCTGTGATGAAAGGTGCAGAGAAGCAAATTAGGCAGCAGCGGAGTTTCCCATTGTTTACCAGGGAGGTGTCTACGAGCGAACCCCTGGCATCAGACACGCGCAGTTTTAACAGAGGTAGTTTTTATTGGGACTCTAATGGCAGTGCAACAGATTCCAAAAGTGTGTGACTGTTTATGTAAAAGTTTTGAATGTGTCATAGCATTTTTTAAAACCGTTGGGGTACTAGACAAGTAGTATTTATGTAATAAACAGAAACAGTCTATCTCAAAATCATGTGTATTTATTGATAAATTAATTCCTGGGGTGGTGTTACTCGCGTCCGTAGCATAGACCCTTGCTTATGCCATAAATATTAACTGTCTCTGTATTGTCAGCTGCATTAGAACAACAGCAATAAATTAATTTCTAAAAATAATAATTACATCATTAAATTATACATTTAAAATTCAATCTGCTTTTTTTCTTTTGGCATCTCGTCGATAGCATCGCTTATGTCAACTTCACTATTTTGAATGAATATTTAATAAAACTAATCCATAAAGAACGTCGTCTCAATAAACAAATTCAGGTACGATAATAAAATTGATATTTATAAGAAAAACGCTGATTTGTTGAAATATTAAATATATAACAAAAAAAAATTGGGCCTAAGGGAGAAGTGGTTATAAGGGTGGGCGTCATATATATATGTGTGTGTGTATATATATAGTGTGTGTGTGCTTGCGGGGGGTGTATGTGTGTGTATATTGGTTTTGAATGTGCTAACATATCTTGAATTATCATTTGAATGTCCCAGAACAGAACCGTGCTCTTTGGAAAAGCGAAAGCATAACTGATACTAACTATACTTGCATGAAGTATAACTGATAATAAAAATCTCTCTCTTTCATTTTTTTTTATCTTCAAATCCGTGTTACATAGCGCATTGCCCAAACAACTGTCTCCCATCTGCTCGGAATGCATTGGATTGCATTTCGGTGCATTCGCTGCCATCAAGAAAACGAAAGCAGTTGCAACGGGGTCGGATGACATGAAACTCTTATTTATGAAGAGTGCTTCCCAAATACATTGCAGGCGAATTGCCCAAATGGGCAAGACCGTTGTGAAAGACCGAGACTTTCCGTCGTCTTGCTTAAAGCGAAAAAGACGAATCAAGCGAAATTTCATCAAGAAATTAACATTTGAGACTCCATTGTGAGTCTAAAGACAAATCACATCAACTCCTTATCTAGAGAATCTGAGAAAACTTATTCTTATTAAACTTCGTTCTTATTTCATAGCATGCATCTTAAATTATAATTAGTACATTAAAAAATCATGTATTGCTCAAAATGAATCCAAGATCCATAGTTGTACAAAAAAAAAAAAAAAAAAAAAATTACTCCACAATTATTATTTTTTTTTTTTTTTTTATTGTTCTTTCATTTTTGCTTTTTGTTTAACATATGATTTTGTTGTTAAAATAAATATTTTTAAAATCGTATGCAAAATAGTCATAATAACATAATATTTTGTAGGAGCATGTTAGAAGTATAGAACCTATTAGAAGAGCATATTCAAAATAGTATGCTTAACAAACTGTTTTGGGAGAGCATGCTGGAAGTATAAATAGACTAGAAATATAAAAACACTTTAGCATTTTGGAACATGCAAAACATAATATTTTGTAAGGGCATGATAGAAGTATAGACATTATTAGAAGAATATTTTCAAAATAGTATGCAGAACATATTGTTTTGGAAGAACATGCTGGAAGTATAGAGCATACTGGAAGTATAAAAGTACGTTAGCATTTTGGAAATATGCAGAACATAATATTTTGTAAGCGCATGTTAGAAGTATAGAGCCTATTAGAAGAGCATTTTCAAAATAATGTGCAGAACATACTGTTTTGGAGGAACATGTTAGAAAAGTATTTTCAAAACAAAAGCACTCAGAATTTTAACCACCGTTTTGCATAACGATGCAGTAAACTATAACAGGTTTAATTTTTTAACCCTCCATTTTGCATATGTCGAACAAGTCTGATACATTGAAAAGAAAGTAGCGATTCATGCAGTCATAAATGACATGCATGGCATCATAAATGGTTATCATTAGAGTAAAGCTTTCCTGGAGTGCTATCCTTTTCACCCAATGCATTTCCAAGCAATGCTATTGAAAAATTACTATAGGATTTTTTTTTAGACATAAATTCAGCTACGCTTTAAAGATGATGCAAAATTAAAAAAGAAATCAATAAATCTTAAGTAAATAAAAACAGATTTTTTTTAAATTAAATAATGTGTAAGCTGAATAGAACTTATTAATCCCATAATAATTATAATATATTCCAAGGTGCGTATACTATCTATTACTATTTTTGGGGAAAGTATATTCTTTTCTTTTATGCAAGTCAATGTTTGGAGTGTATGTCGAATGTTAAAAAATTTTTCAACTAAAAGAGGGTGAAACATTTCAATAAATATAACATAAAATGAAACATAAAATTTACTTTCAATAAAAGGAAAAGGTTAGTTTCTTTTTAAATATAGGAG